CCACCACACAGACCTTCTGGAATTACTTTAACAGTAAACACCCTTCAAACAGTTCTTCAGTCTGCAAAATGCATCACCACTATCAGAGTTAGCTGCTTCTACACATTTTGACTTTCTGAACATTTAGGTGCACGCTTACAGGTGAAGACACGGTTTAGAGGAAGCCTGTACTGGAAAATGGAGCCTGAATAATGCCAGTTCACCTACCTAAATCAAGGCCATCCCCTTAAACAGAAGGCAGTGATCCCCCACTGAAAGCTAAGCCTATTCACACATTTGAAGGTGTCCCTCTGTCAAGGATCTGTCCAAAAACATTCAAATTTATGGATTTAATCAAAGTTGTTTACAGCCAAATATGAAGACTTCTTTGAAAAAGTAGACTCTTCTACTTTGTTTCTTTAGTGTTTATTTTTCCATCTAAGCCCACAGCAACGTCAACAGAGCACAAATGAGCCTACTACCTTTCTCTCACCCTGTCAGCAATAATGACCAACAATTTAACAATTAACAAACAGAAGTATTTTTTATTAAACCTTTCAATTAAAAGTACCCCAAGGAGAATCACATGCTACAACAGTGTCATCCACTTTGCATTTGGAAGCCACTCAGCCACCAATGCCCCCACTTCTTCCCTGTCTGTACTTACAAGGGTTGGATTCTTGAAAATCCAGGTCTTTCATCAGGGTCACAACCACAAAAAGCCAGATGGATTCCTGCCCTCAACTGCTGCAGATCCTTCATAGGAGCTACAGAGCAGCTTGTTTTTGCTGGCACATCACCTCCTTTTACCTTCAACAGCAGCTACCATCACTGCCCCATCACTTGGTCACACATCCCAGTATATAAGTACATCCCAATAAATAAATAAGAGTATCTAAACTTATTTTTTTCTTTGAGGATTGCACAGAATTCCAGGGAATCTGCTTTAGCAGGGAGGAGACCTGATCCCATCCCTTCCAACTCCTACAATTCTGTAATGCTGAGAATTTTTTAGCAGGCCAGCCAATATCTGAAGAATCCCATATATTCTATGCATACTCATGATATTTTCTGGTGTATAACAACTCTGTATCAAGAGAATAATCTTTTCACTACGAGGTTTGTTGAAAGAAGTCAAAATACACCATACAATATAGCCTAAAACTTTTCTTTTGTTTCAGTTAAAATAAATAGCATAATTAAAGTGGCAAACACACACACACAAAAAAAGCCAATAAACACAAAGCTATAGCTATGTGCTTAGAAGCAGCTTTTCATCCCAAAAGCATAAGAGGAAACTGCAAGGCAGCAAAAAACTTTGCTTAAAACTCTGAAAAGACAACATATCGCTACTTAAATAACACAAACTAAGACTGCAAGGGCCACATCTAACATGATTCCCCCCATTCTCAACCAACCTTGCCAGGGCAGATTCACAAGACAGTTGCAAATCCAGAAAAACACTTGTTCCATCTGACAACTCAGCTTTCTCCTGCTCCTCTGAAATCTTGACTACAGTTACATTTCGGTACAGATGGATGTTTTAATTTAATCCATGAATGCCTGGAATCACAGAAGACATACCTGGTTTTCAATTTTCTTTTCACACTATCTTATTTCAACAGTGATTCATAGCATGCAATTTCTCGTCAGTCAGAAAAAGTGCATTTTTCCTTGTTTGCATCACATGTTTATGCAGATTCCAGGGGAAGAGAGAAAGCTGATGATGCACACACTTTGATAGCAAGAGCATTTCTCTCTGCACTAGGTCTATATCCAGGACTGTAGAACTATTACTTCTACTAGTTTTAGGTTTTTCCTTTCTCAGCTTACTTAAAAATGTCAGTGCAAGCTCTACTCTTTAAGAAGGTGCCTATAAGTTTAATTTAATTCCTTATTTGGAACATATTATGCTCTTTGTTTTCATATATTTGGATATTTTATCATTTGATTTTTTTTTAGCAAAACTGACAGTAGCACAGATGCTATATCTCTGAATTGTACTGCATACAATAGGATAATTACCACAGTTAGCACAGTTATATGGTTATTTTTTGCACAACTGGTGCGAAGTTTCAGTTAAGCTCCAGCAGAAATGAATATCATGTCTGAAGAGTATCTCCCTGACAGCTCTTTCCTCCAGTCACCTCAATGGGAAGCACTTCCAGCAGGCTCCGCTTGATAAGAAATTAACACAAGAGCAACACTGGCAACAAGCTTATGCAAATACTGTACAGTTTATAAGCAAATTATTGAGCAATTAAAAGAAAAGCACAAAAAACCCTTCCCACCATAAATACTGACAGCTCGCAATAACACATTTCATTGTGACAGTCAAGTAACCCACCAGCATCATGCACTGAAACAAGGCAACTTTTCACCTAGTAGCAGAATTAGTTTACAAAAGGACATCCATGCTTCATCAAAGCTGTTAGAAATGCCTTCAAGCTTGTTTTGGGTGAGAGCATCCATAGCAGAAGTTACCCAAGGCCACTCCAGTCATGTAGGCCTCTCTGGCATAACAGGAACCTTTCCACTTAGAACAAACTTAAATTCTGCTCTATTTGTACAATTCAGCAGAATTTTTATACAGTGGAAGCCTCTTCATGTTCATAGCTTTTTGCAGCAACTAGTGAAAATAGAACTCTAAAACCCAATAGAACTCTAAAAACAAGCCCAATGTGATGGTAACCCACCACTATTGTTCTTGCAGGTGTAATACTTAAATGGCTGGCTTTAGAAAATAAATTAAGATAAATTTGAAACTTCCACTATTGTAATCTGTGTTATGAAAAGCCACAAGACATCACTTCAAAGCCTCAAACACACAGTTTGGCAGTTACAACCCAATGTTAAGAACTGACAGCAAACCAACACTGATCAGCTAAAGAATTTCCATTTCTGATTGTGGCAAGTTATACTTTTCCATAGCTTCAAACAAAAAAACCCACAACCCTTGGATACTTTGCTTCCACCTTGAAACAGAAGAAATGACCTAATGGTGAAGTTACTAATCCTACCTCCAGATGCAGTCCTGTAGGAAAGCCAACAGGGAAGGAACTGACAACCAAGACCCAGCTCAGCTTCCTTTGAGGCTAACCAGAAGGAACCACATTACAAGTTCTCACACTGAAATCTCCCTGACAGCTCTCCTCAGTGACCTGCCTTCTCCTTCAAAGAAGCTCTGGGAGCTCAGCGTTCAGAAAGGATGCCCAGCACCACTCAGACCAGGGCTGGGCAGTCACTACTCACAGCACGTCTTACCCGGCCACAACAGCTGCTTTTGCTATGGAAAACCAAACCGTGTCTATTAAGTTCCCATTTGCTGCTTCAAATAAAGAAAACTCAGCTGCAAGTTTATGCTTTGCCAATCATACCTGCCAAGGAAACCAAGCTTTTTATAAACAGATTAGAATCCAATTTGAGTTTTCTAAGCCATGGCTGTGCTTATCATCCAAGTTGGGAATAAAAAAAAAAGAACAAACACAGGTTAGTGGAAGGAGCAGCTTCCAGATTCCTGATGAAGTTGAGGGACAAGTAGCTCTTCATTATAACCAGAGACATCAAAGGCAAAATGTTACCAGATATGTAAACAACACACTGTGAGATTAAGGCAGAGATCTGTTTATATCACGGTAACATCACCTGCATGGGCTTCAGGGAATAGCGTCAAGAAAACTACACTCATGGAAGTAAATGTTAAGTTGTGCCACCAAGCAAAGCCCAGGGTTTCCCCAACAGTACTGCACAACAATGAACGTTAAAAGCATCCCACAAGGGCAACTTTCACCATTCAATTTCTGTCAAGGCCACTTCCAAAGGAGAACATCCAAAAGGAGTTTGCACATACCTGAGATGCACTAGCTAGCAGGTGTGCTCCTGTGGAGATGCACCATATGTTGTTAGATTTGAAGCTTAAACTGTCATGTTGAATCGCCGCTTTGATTACATGATTTCCAACAGAACTGCTTAGCACAACAGCTCTTCAGAACTGCTTTGCAATAGTAGACTGCAGCGCAACATAAGAAAGTGAAAAGAAGTCTCCTACTTAGGAAATCATACCTTTCACGCCTGCTTCCTAAATAAAACACAAGCAAGAACATACTAAATCAGGCCCTATTCACTTAAGAGAATACAAGGTACCATAGCTGCTGGTCGTTTATTTTGAAACAAGGGCTGCAGGCATCAGATATGCTCACAACTCTAGTAAAATTCACTTTGAAATACTGCTAAAAAACAAAATTATAAATACAGCCTTAAATGAGACTTGCATATCCCAAAACAATAAGTGAACATTAAAACAACAAAAAAGTTTGAAAACAACAGTAATGTTTAAATGCTCTCCATTCCTAAAAAAAAAATACTATTTTTACCAAACTACTCAAAACAAAGGAACAGCTTTTAAGATATTACAAGGTAAAAGCAAGTTTTAGTAGGAACAGAATGTCAACTTGAAAGGAACACTGGTTTTAAGTTTCTTAGTCTGGCTGTTTAGGATGAATTGAAATCCAGAAAATAAAGGGCTAAATAGCACTAATCCAAGCAACCGCTTTGAAAATATTTTTTTCTCTTTGAAGGTATTCTTTAAAAAAAAAAAAACGAATTTTTTCTTGAGTCATTTAAAAGTTACAAATTTTAGGAATAAGACAGATCTAAAACGCTCATTATTAAAGACTGACTAGTTAAACAGT